CCAATGATGCATTAACCTCCTTTAACAACATGCTCCAAATGAAACCCACCCTTGCCTCAGGACTCATCATTTTAACAAATTGATACGCGCTGTTGCTAAAACCAAGAATTATCAAAATGTGGATTACAAATGCTTTATATATCGCCAGTAGGAAAACAATTACTTGATAGCTCTTATTATTTACAATTTTAATGATTTTTGTGAATTTTATGAGTTGTTGATTTGGTGCTTCTACAAATGTTTTAAATATTTTTGGATACGAGTAATTTTGTATTGCCGCTTGAGATTTGGGTCGGCGGTGGTGGTGTTTGCGGTGATGACGGTGGGTGGTGCACTGTCGGGTAGATGGGTGGCGATCGGAGGCAGTGACTGGGTTGTTGGGTGGAGGTGGGGTATTTGGAGAAGAGGCAGTTAATTTTTCTTTTTCTTTTTTTGGTTTTTTGTTTAATTATTGGATAACTTGTGTTGACAATTTTGCCCCTGACTTAAGTTGTCCATTTGAGTCAAAACTACTATTTCAACATTGACTAACAGTATTATGGACAGAGTCAGTAATTTGAACCACGACTGCAGTTAAATATAAAGATTTGAGACTGCAGCCGCAAAAATGAAGGTTAGGGTGTAATATGCAGGAAAATGAAAGTTTGGGACCCACGCTGCAATTTTCGCTAAAGAAATATATTTTTGAAATCGCACTGCTAATATGAGTATATCATCAAGACTGACGAAATCATTAATTTCCACAATCACGTTCTTTAAATTCTTCATTCCATTTGGGGAATTTATAACATAAATTCTACCTGGTAAAGAAGTGTAATTTGCAACTGGGGGTGTTCGTTTGGCAGCAAGCAAGTCAAATGCCTGTATAATCATAATGCCTAGTTACAGGGAAAAAAATTACATGCACCCTAAGGCATAAGAGGATAGACTCTGGTAAGACACTCGCCGTGTCATGGAACACCTCGGTAGGATAGAGTTTATAAAATGGTAGAAGTTGGAGCAAAATCAAAATGAACAAAACAAAAATTTCTTGCAACTTCATTTTGATTTGGTCATGTACGAGGTTAGTGGTCGGTACGGTCCTTTTCGAAGATGTAGGAAATAAGAATTTCGTACTTTAAAATGGAGGCCCCCTTCTGACGCGTGTTAATGAGCTGATTGGCCCGACAAGATGATCAGTTTGTCACGCATAACGATGATCATGAACTGGATTGATTAGCTCAGATTCAATCTGTATAGTTAATATGAACTCAAGATTTGGTAGAGAGGAAAATGTAGAAAATACTAATCCAGATAGCACTTTGGGCCCAAGAACCAGTAAAAATAAAGTTTTGAAAATGGGTTAACGAAGGAGATACCAAATGTTATCCGAAAATACTGCACTGAATAAGATTTCATTTACGCAACTTCTTGTATTCCTGAAGAAGTATGATCTCATCCAACGACTTTATGTAATATACTCCAGTGATCTGTTATCATCGTTAGCAGGTGAAATTGCTTATTCAGCCTATGTACCTCTCCACCACAAGCCGAGTACAAGAAAACAGTGTGCAGGTTCTGCACCCGTGGGGAAGTGAATGCAATTCAATATTTCACCCAAAACTATGCAAATGCTTCTCGCTGCTTTGTGGGCAGTTCTAGTTCAGGCTCAAGTGCTGTGAGCGGAGCAAAGTACTGATCTATCATGTCTTGAGATACTTGTTCCAATGTTGGAGGGTCCCACTACACGTTTTACAAAATCATTAGTTGATCAAAAGAGAATATCAATTTAGCAGCAGCTAATAACTAAACAAGAAGGGTGGCAAAATTAGGAATTAAGATATAGTTTACCTTTGGTACAAAATCTTTATCTACCAGTTTTGCTCGAACACCCTGAATAGAAAAGGCAAGTGGATACCGTAACCAAGACGTATAATGCTCATGCTAAACAGCAAGTTAGAAACATTTTATACCTCACGGAAGTCACCTGTAATCTGCCCAGATATTCCTTGTAGGGACATTCTATACTCACGGATAAGGCACTGGTCAAGACTTTGAAATCTACCTTCGCGTATCTGGAACAGACGTTGTGAGTTCAGCTCAAATTGTAGTGGTTTGGAGAACTCAGTAAAATGTTCTGGGGACTTACAGATCTTAATGAAACCTTCAAACTTAATGGTGCAGCATCTTTAAGTTTCATCAAAGTTGATGTGCACCATGCATCATTTGTTTTGGCAACCTCATTTTCCTAGAAAATTTTAAATAGGAATCGTAATCAAAGCAATTAACGTAAATTTCTTCCAAGGAAAAAAATGCAGTGTTATATAATTGAAAAAACATGTTCTCCAAGAAATTTAGATGAAATTTTTTATTGGTGGACGTCAAATGGAAGTATAAAGCAGAAGAAAGAAAAAGCTTCACTCAGAAGCATTGTGACTTGTGAAACGGGCTGTTTGTGCCTTTTATAAAAAACTCGGAGCTTTTAATGTAATCTACCTAGGCAAACAACATAACTAATTTTTCCAATTCGGCGGATCTATGATTTATCATTATGGACGTTGATAAGATCCATCATTTAGCAGCACCCTAGGATTGCATAGCCTTAAAAGGGCGATGTTCAAATGAGGATGAATCAGCCCAAGCTTGACTAGCCAAGCAGACAAACGACCCTGCATGTTTTTTATCTCACATTTTTAGCTATAATATCTAACATTCTCGATCAAATTTACCCGTCGAGTGGGGATGAAAGTCGGCCTTCGTGATCCGATGGTGCCGAGTGGAAGGGCCACTGGGCAGGTAAAAAACAACTACAATGTATGGATTGGTATTCCTACCACCATCTTCTCAGAACTACAGAAAGATAGTGATAAAGAGAGACGAAAATATTATTTCATATCTATACTTCATTTTCTTCATCTATAACATTCTATCCTATTCTTCTGATCACTCCATTTTCATCAAAAGAATTTGCAGTGAACAGTTTACAAGAGACAAAGGATCAATGTTATATATTCATTCAGAATTGTTTCTGTAAAAGGATACTTCAGGTAAATGAAAACGGAACTAATTTATTAGATGCTTACCAAAGAATCAATAATTTCCTCAACAGTGTCCTGGCTGAAACATTTGTCAAGTGTTCCGATCCTAATCAAGAATAGGAGTAGGAGGGACAAATGATCAGTATAAATCATCTTAACAGTGACAGAAGCAGATGAGATTCACTCAAAGGAGTACTGTACATCTCAGGAACTGTACTTACAAGTATATTCTACAATTAGTTAAAAACCCATACATCTAGAGCATTTTTGGGAAGTGTTTATAAACAATTTAAATTATATATAGATAGAACCATAGAAATGAGTGGTGGATAAGTGGGTAATACATATGGTCTATCGAGATGTGTAACATAGACTGAGTAAATGAATGAGGGGTGTGAAACTACTGAAAAAGACACGAAACAATTGTATCCACTGACTCCTTTTCGCTTCATTCTCTGTATGGGTGTATGTTGCATGGGTGAGGAGAACAAGTTAGTTTGCTAAACGCTCAATATATAAGGGATTATTTCTATTAATGTATTCAAATAAAATGTGTCTTGTAAGACTTTTAAAATCCCCTCATCTAACTAGGTAATCATAAATAGCAGAGGTCAGTTGACCAAAGCTTCATTCGACCTGGTACTTTCTTCACATGTTGTGATGTTTTTCTGATTGACAATGAAGATAAGTAACCAAATTTCATAACATTTACAAATATGTTACTAGGACATTTTCCCACTGGGGATTCAACTAAATTACGCCATTTAAATTTACAATCTAGAAAACAGATGAAGTACCTGTGAATTACACTTTTCTTATCTGGAAGAGCAAGATCTCCATGATTTTCTAAACAAGTTTCAATGACAGAAGGGTCATCAGTTACCAAATTCCCAAGCTGTTCTTCAATCAAAGGAAGTTTCTGTAGAGGTGATGGATGTGAATAAAAATGCAAAGAGCCATCTCTCTTAAGTAAACAGTGAAATAGTATGGTACAAAAACAAGAAATACACAATAGCACTGACTGGAATAAGCGAGTAGTGAGTAGAAAGCCCACAGGACATCATTTCCGCTCCATTGAGTTTATCACCTGTTAAGGCCAAATACTCCCCTGCAAAAAGACATAGGCATACATAGGTAAAATTATCTTTTATTTAATATATTTTTTTATATATCAATGGCCAATCAATTCAAATATAATTTGAATAATTTAAGAAATAGAGTATTGAAATCTATAACTTATAAAATGCAATCTTTATAAAGTAAGGATAGCGAGTGAGTTTGGCTTTCTAAATTTGGAAACACAAACCCACTCTATATTTTAAAACGTTTAAAGAGTTTCTTGGAGCTTATTTTTAAATGTTGACTTTCTAAAATAGAGAGCATCTTGTATATAAAGTGTCTCTTAGAGATGTTCTAAGAGTACATCAAGTGAGCACTGCGCATCTTGTGCATGTCATATTATTTTAGCACAGGAAACAGAATTTTAACAAGATATCGTTCTGGGAAAGTGGATAAATCTGAGAAGATAAATTATCAATAACCATGTAACATTCTATGCCATAGAGCATATTACAGCGTTATCGCACATTAAGACTAGGTTCATGCTTATAAATTGTTTATAAACACTTGAGGCACTTTTTATCAACACATTTGAGGGACCACAAGTATTACCCACTTATTTCTATTTATTTATAATTTAAACCGTTTACAAACTATTCCCAAGCATGCTTTAAAGATTTGGATATTGTTCTTTACTAGTTATTCTAGCTTATTACCAATGCCAACAAAGACAGAAAAGGCAGCAGCAGGCATACAATGGTTTAGAAAGGAAAAGGAAAAAAAAAAATCAAAGATGAACTAGCAGGTTATGTCCAATGCAAATGACTTGAAAGCTAAAGAATGAAAGAAGATAAAATGAATAAGACTCTCATGAAAGGTTAAAGCATGACAGAAACTCAGAGATCTAATTTAATGTTAGTGTATGGAACCATATAAAGCACAAAGTATTAGACTTTTAAATTATTAGTTAAGTGGTAGCCTTGAAGATTACTCAAGTGGTGTTTGACCATTTGAGGAAAAAAAGAAGGAAAAACAAGATTATTCAAGCCCAAATAAGCTATTTATTTTATAATGCAGCAACAGAAAGCTCATGTATTAATTCATGAGGACTGATGAGGTCCCAGGATAATACAATTCCACTGAGTTGCAGAAGTACCAATCTGAGAGACATTTTATATGGAAGAACCAATGCATGAAGATACCAAGTCAGTCACAAACAGGGCAGGTTTACTTTCATAAATCCTGGGAAAAGAAAAAGCACTTAGTAAGATGAATACATGCGATAAGGCATAAGAACTAACCAAGATAGCCAGGCAGGTGTGAGAGGTAAAATGATGCCCCAGCATCTGGATGGAAACCAATTAATGATTCAGGGGTAGCAAAAACCTGCAATTATTGGGGCATTTGTCGCGCAACTTTTCAAACATATTATGGATACTTTATTAGTGAAAATGGCAAAAAATTTCCTCGGGAAAAAATGTTAAGTTGAGAAATCATTTTCTTAACCCCACCTATCTCTTATTACTCTCATATAAATTGTGCAGTAGGTGAAAAACAAAGAACTAAATCTGATAGTGTGGACTGGGGAATCATTACTTAAAATAGTCAAACATGCACACATTGTGCTGCCCAAGCTTAATGGCATCTGTCACTTACTCTCGGAATAAAATGTTTTCTCTTTAACATTAATGGCATGCAGCGACCAATATAAAAAGACAAATTTATTTGCACAAAACTAACCATCACATATATTAGCAGCTTGCACTTCTGACCATGGAATCAGAAGTGTTGAGGATTTTATTAAAAAAAATAGCTGTCATCGGCAATTTTTTTTGGTAACAAAGAATTAAAAATAAGCCAAAGAACATAATTGATAAAGAGATCTTGAATTTCAATGCAAAAGCATTGGGTGTCATTAGGATCGGGGACTTGGATATGAAACAGAGCTATATATCTAAACAGAGTCCTGAACCAATTGCACTATATATGCTGTTCCTTCTTGTACTTTCACATTCAACCTCCTCTCTTTTCAACCTTTCATTCAAGGGAAGAAATAAATAAGCCGTTTCTCAAATTCTTTAAAATTCTTAATTGCTAAATATTGACATTGTTCTTCAACTAATTAAGTAACGAGCTTCCACATCTCATGCCCTCTAAAAAACAATATAAACATGGTTTGATAGTCAGCAGCAGAACATAAGTAAAACCAAATATCACGAGTTCTGCAAAGTAGTTGGACACTAACTCCAAAGTCATTGGAAGTATCTTTTAATAGATGAAATAAAAGAAGACAACGAGACTCTTAGATTTCATGGAAGTTTCTTACAGTTTTATCAGTTGCAACTCGGAATGTCCCAGGGATTGAAATTCCAGCCCCGCCACCCATAGTAATCCCATTTAAGATAGCCACCTGCATAGTAAAAGAAATGTAAATGATGAAAATTCAGGTGCAAGAAACATGAGTAACAAAAATTGACTTGTCTTAAACTTGTAGCAGAATCAACATACTTGGTGCTGTAGAGGAAAAAAAGTATAAAAAAAAACAGAAATCAGCTGGGAACACCAAACCGTTCCATCTGAGTAGATATCCAAAAGGTATTAATTGAGTAGTTAAAAGGATGTAGATAGAGAAGCCACAACAAATCGACAATTGTAATCCTAATGAACAGGCAGATCACCGTCTTCTGAAACTTTGAAACTCAGTGCAATTTGACCAATATTATAGAAAGATGATACAAAAACATGATAATGCTATATCAATGACATTGTTGCCAAAGAGCACTTTGGTCCATGGCGTAGTGAGGCACACAATAGTCATTATTTTGTTGTCAACTGCAACCTTTGCTTTATTATATCTTAGTTTTTTTAGTGTCTTTTTGCATCACACTTTGTTTTACTATCATGTTGAGTGGAATTAATTTTTTGCCTGTTGAAATGAGATCAAGTGCTGAAAAATGTGCAAGAATCCAGTTTTGACATCGGAGATTATGAGCCCATTTGAGCCCCATTTTTAGAGAAGAATGCATTTTGTAATAATAGATTGATGGAGAATGTGTGGTAAAAAATAAGGAAAAGTTTTGGATTTGCGTGTAATATTATTTTATTAAAGAATGTTTGGTTGAAAACAAGATAGAGAAAAATGTATTTTGGGAATAATGGGAAACAAACAAGGCCTATGTCAAGCGGATTTTGTTCAAAATAAACAGGGAACTAACTGTTGTGTGCAGGAACTTGAGGAACCGGTGAACCGCAGCAATATTTGAGTTTTGTGGATTAAATGAAGAACCTCATTTCAATTAGTAAAAGGGAAGCATAAGCCTCATTTTGCACTTTGTGCTCAAGCCTCGAGAGGTCTTTATCCCCCAGCATACTTAACAATTTAAAAATATAATTGGGAAGTACACAACACAATTGTGCAGAATTGAGCAGGCAACTAAATGATACTCACGTGTGGCTTCAAATATGTACCAAGAAAGTATATATGATTATATAAGGTCCAAAAGAATTCTTTACACTCTTCAATATTTCCTGCATGGATGAATAAAATATTGTAATCATTCTGACAAAAGAGAGAGAAAGAGTCAGTGCTATAGCAGTGTCAATAGAGTCAAACAGAAGCTATGCACCAACCAACTTTACGATGCCCTTGACATTGATGATTGTGCCAAAAAGTACTTCACTCCAATATTTATTTAGAATAATAAGTAATGGCTAATTTCGAGTGCAGTTCTCAACAAATATCAAGAACCACCACGGTTGCAGTGCATGCCTGACCACCATCTCCAATTATCCAATTCTAAGTTCATTATTAGACTAATTAGAACAATTATCTAAAAGTTCCAACTTGTACAGGAACATTGGTCTGACTTTTTAGTCACAGCGTGTTATGGTAACATAGGGTAGAGTTGAGTTGATCAATCAGCAATAATCTCGCAAATCAACTCAACCATCATTACTCTATGAAGTATGAACTGGCAATTAATGCATATAGTCCTTTGTGAAATCTTGATAAAGAGAACAAATCTGCATTATACTTCCCCAGGTTGAATATCAAACAACATAGGATAATCTCAAAGATTCTATTTGTACCTTCGCTTATTAACTTATAGAGAGCAACAATGTCACCACCGGCACAAAACGCCCTGCCTTTTCCCTGCAAGAATTTCAAAACCATGCTAAAGTTAATTTACGGCATAGGCTAACAAAAAACAAAAAAATGGAGTACAAGTCAACCTCCCAAAAGTACTAAGAAATATAATACCAATAAATCTGAATTGTGAAAATAGAATACCTTTAAAGCCACAAACCCAATGCCAGGGTTATCTTCCCAACTTTTGTATAGTTTATGCAACCTAGAACCCTATATTCCACCATATTGAAATTTTTTACAAAATGCACGAATCAGGATTATTGAAAATAAAAATAAAATTAAGCGTATTATCAAATTACAATCAATGCAATTCAATTGTTGAAAGAAACTCGAAACATAATCTACATAGTGGTTATCATACAATATTTTGATTAAAGTCAAATGGGCCAGAGTAAATTAAGATTGAAAATAATATAAAAGAGTGCATATTGAGAAAAAATCTCAGAGAATGTCAAAGCAAAAAATACGTACAATACGCATTAGTATCAAATAAACTTCTCCACAGACATGTATATATCAATTACCATTCTGGTTAATTTTCATAATTATGAGATTCAATATATTAAGGATAACCCAGAAATGCAATCTTGCAAGGCAGATAAGGAAACACCTTAACGAACAATGACAAGAAACTTACCCAAATATTTGCAAATAATCCATTTAAATATTAAAAATAACTTAAAGACGCTCTTAAGCTAATACTCTGGTAAGCATCGAAAACAGCAATGAACCATTAGTCTAAAGTTCTCAATTGAGCTAATTCAAAAACTCAATACTATTAAAAACCTTAGACACAATCTTGTTAAATCTCAAGGGGAAAAAAATGCAACCAAATAATAGCACACTAAGGAGCAAACGCACTAAAAAACCCATTACTGACAACTGTGCTTATATAACATACAACGGTAGTATTAAGAGCATTGAGCACAGAGGGTCTGTTGAGAATTGCAGTTCTTGAATAAGTCTTGCCCTCAACAAGTACCTGAAATTATTCAAACAAAATGAGTTCATATTAGTGTGTGCTTGTCCGTGTGTATGTGGAATACATTAAGCATTCGATAATTGAAATGGAAAAGGGGATTTAAATAAGAGAACTGACTAGGTTATCAGCATCATCAACGAGGGGATTATTGGAGAGAGAGCTAAGGCTTCTGAATTGAGAGATGCATCTATGAACATAGCGCCTCAAAAGCAACGATGATTTGAAGCTACGCATTCCTCAGACCTA